AAAACGATTGTCGTTATCATGTGGTGCTGCACTCGTCATTAGCGTGCATCTTAAGCGTTTTAGAAAAAATTGTAAACTAAGTGGTCGTCGCAGACTATTCTCGCAAAAAAAAATTTGGATGATGTTGTTTCTGTAAGAAATCTAAAATAAGAACGAGGTAAAGAATTTCACCTCATTGAACATTAGGCTCTAGCACGTACCATTTGTATATAAGAGTAGTTAATAAACCAGATTGCTTCTCACATTGTAAGCAACAAACAATTAACATACAGTTCAATTAATCAACTAATGTATTGGTCTACCTGCCTATCTATCTTTGATCTACCTGCCCATCCGCATATTCATCTATCCATCACCAGTCAATCAATTAATATGTCTGTCTATCTATTTATGTCTAAACTTCTCAACTGCAATGGAGATAAAGCACGAATTTAAGGCAAAATGCAGTGTAGTGTCGGCTGTTTGCAGAGATGTGTATTGGTATATATCGATCAGAGTGACATTTAAAAAGTGTTTTATAAAATATTCTTTTCATTAATATGTAGGAAATTAGTAGTATATAAAGTTACAGTTATGATTGTAACTTTATAATGATTGTAACTTTGTATACTACTAATTAGTATATAAAGTTACAGTCATGATTTACGTACTATTGTAGAACAGCTAATTTCTCGATTGCTTTCTTTCTTATTTTCATAAAATTCCAAAGATTTTTTTCCACAAAGTGAGATGACAACTAATACAAACAAAAAATCAATGTTATACGGTTGAATCTATGAGCTTCCACTGTGCACTACAAATGAGATATTCCAGAATTACAATAGTATAGGACGTTGCGATTCTGGAATAGCTCGTTTGCATTTATTGTGAGCATGAGCATTTTTAAGGTAAAGTAACCTTGTTTGTAGCTGAATAAGCTAAGAAAACAATGGCAGTTTTCCTCTCGCACATTATTATATGTGAATTTACGTGAAAAGACAATAACAATATATACAGTAAACAATGCGGATTTCATTAAAGTTAGCTTTTAATCCGATAGAGGCACGCTTTTTTGTTTTCTGCCGTTTTCACTTGTTTTGATGCAATATAAATATGTTGACAGATTGATTGGTTAGGTAGATTCTTGGATCGCTTGCGCATTTAAATAGGCTAATTACGTAGGCAGATAATAATATTTTAGGGTAGATCTTGAGATATAGACGTAGATATTTTGAGGGAATATATCATAATTGCTCATTTTCAATTTTTGTTCAAAACGATGCAGTATTTGATCAAAGGCGCTTAGTTGCGACTAATTTGATCACACTGTCGTTTCATGCCAAGTAAAAAATGAGAAATTTTCGGGGAAACATTTGAGATTTATTTCTTCAGAAAAATGAAAATGTTTCCGTGCATTGGCCATTGAAACACTTAGAAAAAGCAAGTGATGCTCACTTGTTCATTCAGTTTATGGCTTTTCTCGAGACTATTTGCTTCCACACCAAAATTAGACATAGAGAAATTTAGCGTTTAAATTCTTTGCACTTTGAATCAGTTCTATGATTCTCGTATTTATTGTGTTGTGTTTGCTCGAGGCTACTTGCATTTCGTTTTTGATTTTATGTGCATTTGTGATGTCTATCAATTCACTTATTCCTTATTTTCATGCCAACAAAAGTTTCGTTTGTGTTTAATTACATTTGAAAACTAAGCGTAATATGATAGCTTCCCATAAATTACACGCATTTCTCCAATGCCATTCAAATTTATAGATGTGCATGTCATTCAGGACGTGCATGTCCTACAGTGCAAAAGATAACCAAAGTTTGCACATTTGTTCCCAATTTTTAGACTTCTTGTCAAGTGTAGTACGTAGCGCAGGTCAATGAGAAAATCTGTTTTAACAATGAGAGAAGGATTTAATGTTTAAATTTTTAGTGTTTAGATCACAGATTTGCTGTAGATTACTTTTATTTAAAATATTGATCAATTCGTGCAGTATAATTTGAATTCTCTAATTTTCAAACGGTCACTAGCTTTGGATTAGTTCGTATTTATTTTGTTTTCGAAAAAGTTGCGAATATGCCAGCAAAACTTTTTCTCCATGTGTATAGTATAAGCTGACAAATGAATTTCAAAGATGATTTTAATTACGTAATTAAATTTGACTACAATATTAATGCGATAAATTATGCAAAGCGATGAGAAGAACAGCTGCACATCCCATACTTTCTTGGTACCACAAATGCCTAATAAGCCTTTAACCTGAAATTCATAGCTGTATACATATATTTTAATGCCAGAATGAATCCAGCTTTAATTATTCGCACAACCCTAATACAAGTATACTCACTGAACTCTGAATCATTCTACACGAAAAATAATTTATTCATTTAAATTAGTCACTCTATTTAGCTGAATGAAATTATTCTGTTAAATTAAATCAAATCATATACATCAAAAAGTGTTTGAAAAGCAACAAATTATATAGAACAATTAATTAATTTTAAATGATGTGAAATAGGCTGGACGAGAAATGATAGAAATAGCCATAGATTTTTTTCAAAAGTGTCTGTCTGTTTTTAGAGTATTTTCACAAACACTAAAACTACCCCAAATTCATTGACACCAAAACACAACACTTTAAACTGTGTCTCAATCAGTTTAGAATCATATTATCATTGTTCTCGGTAGAAAACGGTTGTTTTGGATTTAAAACCACAAAAATATGTAATACATAAACTCGTTAATATCTATTTGGAGTAATAATAAATTTCAGATAGAATTGTAATTTGCAGTATTTTGGTGACTTGCATATATGCTTATTTTTTGTTTCAGTGAAGATTATTCTTCTGTATATTATAAGCATTATTTATTTATTCAAAAATTTGTTTGAAAAGTAGTATTATTATACCTTTAATTCAAATCACTAGTTTCAACCCGCAAAAGCTCAGCAACTATATTTTTGTTTACGTAGAAAAACGAGCAGAAATTCATTCACAATCAGCGCATGACCTTACATTAATAAATGAAATGAAATGTTAAGACAGCTTGCAAAAATATTTTCAGTTTTAACCGATTATTTTCAATGAATACTGCAAATATAATCGGAGAAAGTAATACTAAAAAGCCTTGGCAATAGGTTATCTGAATATTTTTTTAGTTTCTGACCTGAAGTCCTGTATCAAACGTATAATTCTTATCACAAAAATAGATTCAAGTAATTGAAATAAGTGAAATTTACATTTTTTTAAATCACATAACTGAGCAAATTTTAGAATTAATAAAACATTTTTGTCGTCTAGACTTTTAACTAAAAATTTTACTGAATAATTCAAATATGG